TGCAAACGTTCCACTAAGCCGTTTGCTTGCGGGTGATATGCTGTGGTACGGATGCGTTGGCATCCAAGAATGTTGATAATGTTTGAGAAAAGAATGGATTCAAACTGGGAACCGCGATCAGTCGTAATGGTGGCTGGAACACCAAATGTCGCGACCCAATGGTTAATGAAATTACGAGCGATTGTTTCCGTGTGAGTGTCAGGTATAGGAATGCGACTGGCCAACGCGTAAAGCGATCGATGCAAGTGAGGATATACGCGTTGCTATTTGACACAGGAAGAGGACCGACGATGTCCAAACGAACATGAGCAAAACGGGCATCGGGATTGCTAAAGATTCCGAAAGGTGAGCGTGTATGGCGGATGACTTTAGAACGTTGACAGGAAAGGCAATTTGCAGCCCATTCCTTGATGTCTCTGTTCATGTTTGGCCATACGCATCTTTCAGAGATGAGACGGATGGATTGGCGGATTCCTGGATGTGAAACATTGTGAAAAGTTTCAAAAACCTGTCGGCGCATAGATGGTGGTGCCAATGGACGTGGTACATGCGTCGAAACATCACATTCGATTGTTCCAGGATGTTTATAGAGAGTGAGTGGTTTTAACACAAGTGAAAATTTCTCAGAGAGGGATGAGAATGATTCGGATGATTCTGTCTTCTGAGCCTTCGCCATCTGGTGTAAATCGATTACGGAAACACAGTCAACACCAGGACGAGACAGAGTATCTGCGACTAAGTTTTGGTTGCCGGCAACATGCCGGATATCAGTGGAAAACTGAGAGATATAATCAAGTTGGCAAATCTCTCGGGGCGAATATTTGTCAGGATTAGCAGAAAAAAGGCTGAAGCAAGAGCTTTATGGTCTGAATAGATGCAAAATTCACGGCCTTCCAAAAGGTGTCGGAAGTAACGCACAGCTAGATAGATGGCCAAAAGTTCTCGACCAAATACACTATACCGCGTCTCCGTTGACTGAAGTCTCTTGGAGAAGAAACCAAGTGGTTGTTTCTGGTGGTCAACGGTTTGATGAAGAACAGCCCCTACTGCGGTGTTAGATGCATCGACGTGAAGAGACAAGGGGGCAACTTGGCGCACATGAAACAAGGTACATTGTTTCGCTAAGGTACATTTGGCTTTCTCAAATGCTTGTTGAGCTTGTTCAGAAAAATGAAAGTCAGAGTGAGTTTCTCTCAACAGGTCAGTCAAAGGCATCAACATAGCGGCTGCATGAGGAATGAAACGACGATAATAATTAACCATTCCAAGGAAACGCTTCTGTTGACGAAGAGAAGTGGGACACGGAAATGAGGTGATGGCGTCTAGCTTAGGTTGTGCGGGAGTAATGCCATGCTGATTAATCGTATGTCCGAGAAAATTTAAAGAGGAAACACCAAATTCGCATTTCTGAACGTTAAGTACTACGCCATGATCTTGTAGGCGTTGAAACAGTATGCGAAGATGGGTAATGTGTTCATCATGGGTTTTGGAAGCAACGAGAATATCATCTAAATAACAGAATACAAAATCCAGATTGTGGAGAACTTGGTCAATAAAACGTTGAAAGGTCTGAGCAGCATTCCTTAAACCAAAGGGCATACGCAAAAACTCAAATAAAACAAAAGGAGTGGTAATAGCTGTCTTGTGCACATCATCGGAGTGAATAAGGATATGATGATACGCTCTGAGAATGTCAATGTGTGAGAAAACTGTACAACCGGTAATGTTTGCAGTAAAATCGTGGATATGAGGAAGGGGATATCTATCGGGGATAGTGGAGTTGTTTAAGGCTCGATAGTCACCACAGGGGCGCCAATCATTTGGCGTTGACTTAGGGACCATATGCAAGGGTGAAGCAAAAGTACTGTGAGAGGGTCTGATAATTCCCAGCTGGAGCATGTGTTGAAATTCCCTTTTGGCGATGAGCAAGCGTTCAGGTGGCATACCTCGGGGGCGAACAAAATCGGGGTTACCGCGAGTCTCTATCCTATGGGTTACAGAATGTTTGGGATTAGCCCGGTGGAAATTGGGTTTAAGCAGGTTAGGGAAATCTCTAAGTATGGAAGAACAGGAGGTTGGATGAAGCGTGGACAATAACAATGGAACAGATTGGAAACAAATGATAGGTTCACCGCACACAGATAACTTAGTAATACCGTCCTGGAGGCTACGGTTTTTCAAGTCAACTAATAAATTAAAATGTGTAAAAAAATCCGCACCTAAAATAGGCTGGTGAACATCCGCAATAAGAAATATCCAAGGGAACTCACGTCGAAATCCCAAATTAAGTGTCAGCAAACGTTGTCCAAACGTACGTATTTTCGTACCGTTTGCAGCAGTAAGTTCATAAAAATTCCCAGGAGGGAGAGTGTCGATGGATTGCGGGGGAATAACACTAACGTCTGCTCCAGTGTCAATCAAAATTTTAGTCCAGAAGTACGATCCACAACAGAACGACGGCGAGATTGGGTTAGATAGCCACGAGTGTTACTCGCCCCTAACACTCGGCCTGGCGGTTTTCCGACATCTGTGGGGCATTGTTTTTGGAGTTTCTGAATAAACAGGGGGAAACACATTTCCTTGCTCTATGACCAAATTTGTTGTGCTACCAGCAGTAGTTTTCAGACTGTCTGTTGTTGGAATTCGATCGGTAAGTTCTGCTGTTTGATCGTCGACGTGAAAAACATCGAAATTGGCGAGAGTGTGAAGCTCTAAGCTCAGCGATTTGTTCGGAAAGCAACTTAATCTGGTCGGCAATGGACGGTGTTTCCGTCGCTGAGTTGATCGAATACAAAGAAGTTGAATTTGGTTGAACTTCTAAAATTCGATCAGCCATAGTCGCCAGTTCGTCGATGGGGACGGTGTCAATCGACGGTGCTAGGATTGTTTGTACATGTGAAGGGAGGCGCTTCAAAAACAGTTGAATGAAAAGAGCGGAATCAAGCTTGCGATCTCACAAAGTGTTGTACATTCGACGAAGTAACTGTGATGGTGTACATTCACCAAGATCAACACCATTGAGGAGTTGTTCCAGACGCTTATATTCTGATATCGTTGTCCGCTTGATGATAGTGTCGCGCAAAGTGTTGAAAGGGGTGACTTGATCTGGGGCTTGTAACACATCACGAACACCCGCAGCAACTTCAGGTGGAAGCACAGAAAGCACATGGTAAAACATGGTTGACTGTTGTGTGATATTCCGGAGATGGAATTGTGCTTCAACCTGACAGAACCAGATTGCTGGATCATGATGCCAAAACGGCGGGAGTTTGACTGAAACAGTGTCAATTCTGTGCGTTGGTTGATTTGATACAGAGGACATCAAATAGCTGTCTTCTGAGGACATTTTAGATCACGTCAGGGTCACCAAATTTGTTTGGGTTTTATAGGAAAATACGGTTGCGTATTATTACGTAATTAACGACCCAATAAATAATAGTGAAAACTCCGAGATTAGGTAGGAAAATAGATTGTCAAAAGTGACAATAGATTGACACAATCTAACACTGTATCACGGTAGGGTACAAGGCCTGTTCAATCGTATCGCATGTAGTCAGCCCCGTTGTCGAGTCATCGGCCGTGGTGCACGTGATGATTACGCTGTGTGTCTTTTTCAAGTCTCACATGAGTCGATAAGGTTCAGTGACCTTGTATCGGCCAAGCTTGCACGTCCCGTCTGCGCGTGCGTGCGTGCGTGCGGTTGCTACACATACAACACAAACCAAAACGATTAGAACAACACAAAGGAGTGAGTAGAAATGGAATTGTCAGATAACGGTTACGTTGTGAACCCGGACTCGGAAAATTAAGAGTTCGACTCCCCGTCGAGGCATATTATTGTGCGTGAATTTTAATCGTGACTTCTACTTTCTACAAACTTTACCCTACTCACAAACTTCCAACATTAATCTACCATCGCCCCTTGGACATTTGAAGGACAGGTACTTCGGTCCATTGGGAAGTGACGTGTGAGTGAGGCAATCTGCAACATCAGGAAAGATACTGTGAGCCCATTGGTAATACGTCGCGCACCAAGCAGAAGTCATGTGTTAAAATTTGCGCACCTAATCGTCAGCCCTCGGTAGCTCAGGTGGTAGAGCAGCGGACCGGAAATTCGTGCACCGGGGTTCGACTCCCCGTCGAGGCATATTATTGTGCGTGAATTTTAATCGTGACTTCTACTTTCTACAAACTTTACCCTACTCACAAACTTCCAACATTAGGAGTCTTTTTGTGTAATAAATGTTATTGCGGTCACAAAGTATACAAGGTTACACACTACCTGTCCTAGTTGGTAATACGAAACCCATAAAGATGTCAGCAAATTGTCTTAACTTCCGTGCGAGCAGCAGCGAGGCCAGTGGGTTGGGTCAGCGAAGGTGAAGACTGTTGTGGTGTATAGCTCTCTAGTAATACTTGTCGCTACCTACGGTATTGTATTCTCATTAACGAGCTGATGGATTAACAGGTACATTCGACTGAACACTGGAGCACCGCTCATTAGTGTGAGCTTATTTTCACCATCAGATGAGTAATCCCTAAAACACTATTTTTTCTGAGTTCTGTCGATGCCACACGCAATATGCGAATGTTTTGTCACAATATACTCACTGTGCGAAAGACTCTTTATCACTCCGATTGGTTGCAATTGCGTTCGATACAGTGGTAGCGGTTCTCTGTCAAACTATTCTGCCCAATGGACTAGGGACCTTACGGAGATTTTTGCAATTACGTTCAATATGACGTAGCTGCAGTTTCAACGAAACACAAGGCTGACAGTTTACTAACCTAAGACTCATCCGAAGTGGGTTTTGCCTCTAAGCTATTCGCTTGCGAGAGTGGGTGACGATGATACTCACCACGATGTAGAGCCACCTGCAAAATAACTCTGTTTGCCTCCGCTTTTATCATTGTAAGGGCGGGATTTATCTAAGGACGAAATTGCCCAATGTTTACCGCAGTCATTGTCCTACATCTACAAAAATTATCTGCCCAAACAGTGCCACCCAAAGTCTCCGTTCCTGTCTCTACAATCGGCCTCGAAGACCAATCAGTCACAATAACATGTGAGGTGGAAGGCCATCCTGAGCCGGAGATACTGTGGGAGTTCAGAGGACAACCACTGGCTACCTATCTGGGTAACCGTGTTCGGTTCGAGTCGCCAAAACAAGTAACCATTTACAATCTGAAGGTAAGATTGTGTATCTTAGAGTGTACTCAGTTGCAACTCATGTTGGTCTTTACTTATAACTCACTGGTCCATATTAAACACTTGGTACCATAAACAGCGTGTTGACAAACCTGTTTACGTGGGAACAGCAAGTTGGGGCTTCTTCATCCTCGCTAAAAGCTGTGCAATGGTTGTTCTCTGCTGTCTAGTAATTTGTGGGCTTCTCATACTTCTTGCTACTTAATTATGAGGTAGACAGCAGGTCCATGACGAGGCAGGTTAAGGATGGACCAATCGCACCCCTACTGTACCGACCAGTTGGATGTAGTTACTCAGCCGAGACGGGCCAAAGTGGAACGCCAAGCAGTGGTGTGGTGTTACTAGTCCCCACGCGAATGCGATCGGACAACCGTGATATTGCGAATTACGATTACTTATCCTGTTATCAGTTGCTTTGTGAATTACTATCAGAGTTGTCACGGTTAGATTAAATCCAAAGGATTCATCCTAGGGCACTTTGGTGCTCTTCAGTTGTTATCACGCCACAGAAAAGCTGAGCGCCAAACATCACATTGTCGTGTCATAATGCTTCAACTAGCTGCAAAGTTGCATGTCTGGAACACGTGTAGCTGATCCCAAGTTTCCGGAATTCCCTCTTTCCGAGTTTCGTTTGGCGCCATCCGTTTGCAGATTTGTCTGTCACTGTGACCATAAACAGCCGCAGGACACTAGCGTCTACGGAAGGACTATGGGTGACTTGCGCCGCACCACCCACAGCTCCAGCCACACATCACATATCCATGGTAACTCCGAAGGAATAAGGCTTGGAAGCGTATAGATAGGAGCTTAGATTGATTCGGAGCCGGTCTACACTCCTTCAACGTGCGCATAATTCAAATGAATGGAGGAAAACATATACGTCAGATGTACGCAGAGTGCAGTCTGGACTGTAGCCCGCTCCACACTGGATGAAACCGCTCTTTGACCCCGGCACCGTTCCGAAGACTGCGCACCCCGTCTCCACTACTGACCATTAACACACTTTTGGAGTCAATAATGGTGATGATGGTTTTCGACAAGTAGGCACCTTCCCAACATTCTCATCGAGCTCAACCAGACCGGAGATATCAATCAGCAAACTGTCAGCCGTGCAGCAACACAAACAGGCACATGTACAGACTACCCGCAGCGCCGACGCAGCACAAGGGTCACATCTTCCACATAATTGGCCTGGGTTAGTAAATGGAGTCAGAAGCAGCGAACTTGCCATGCGCCAAAACCTACCCACTTAACCTACCCGTTGTCTCTTGGATATTGGCCCCTCATGGTCGCCTCGATAACTTACTGAGCCGGCTCGGCTGAGGAACACACGACCGCATGTGCCACAGCACAAGGTGCTTTATGTCGACGGACCAGGATCCGCTGACATCTGACGCTTGCATAACCGGTGTGTTTCAGCCCGGTACAATAGTATTTTCTCATGAATTTGGGCAGCGGCATTTTTCGATGTAATCCAGCCACTGGTGGTGACTCACCGCTATTGCTTCCCAAATCTTAAAAGTAGCAGTAGTTAGTGATAATCTCACATTGATTATGTCCTGGTAACGTAGTTTCGATTTCTCTGTTCCGCTTCTCTGCACGCAGTTGGCCATCTAGTAGGTGTTTCGGTACTCTAGTCAACTAAATACGGAGGATATTGTTAGTGAGACAATAAAAAGGCTGGTATGGTTCTGTAACTGTTCATGACTGTAGATTTTCGTTTTGCCCTGTTGGTTCACTGACGTTTGTGTTAACTTGTCATTCTGCTATATTTATTGACTGTTTAGAGCCATTATTTTTCCTCTCATGTAGCAGCCGTACTCTGACACCAACGCTCTCAGTTTCTGGTCTTCGTTTGCGCATTATTGGTCCCTTATTTGTTCACACTTTGTTGCCTTTACTTGTCCGCGCGCCTTCTGTTCACAGCTTGACTTTTAAGCTTTCAAATCATGCTATAAAACGAAATGGTTTTCCTATGTATAGGATCCCTAGAATTCCCACACCCGATCGTTCGTGTTCTTACTACCGTTAGTGGATGAAAGCACTCGCGAAGATCCAAGAACAGATATATCTCAGTCACCTCAGATGTCGCAGTACCAGCATGCAATCTGTCCTGAGGAAGCACTCCGTGTCTACAACTCTGGCACATCATTAAATACGCAGATTCCGGCGCAAGCAATGTTGATGAAAGTGCTTCGCATATCGGACATCCTTCCGGTACAGCGTCCATGTCTCGCTGCCGTAAACAAGAACCAGTAGCACCTTCGATTTGTATAGTAACAGCTTAGGCAAACGGTCAGGTGGTGATACTTTCACAACCGGTGTTCCAGATTTCCAACTGCTGCAGCTGCCTTCGATACGCGGATGCTCAGTCCGCCCGTCATCTGGCGGTTGATAGTGTACGCTCCCCATGTAGCAAAATCTGAAGTTGGTTTCCAAAACGTCTCTACCAATCTGATTTGGGGCAGACGCCAGGATTCTTTTCCTGGTGAGCGCTGAAGATGACAAACGGTCACGCTTACCTTGATGGTCAGCAAAACTTGGCGCGTCGTCATACGCTGCAATTCATCCGCTCTGTGTGTAAACAACACGCAGTCCTCGGTCAATAGCAACATACGGATGGTTGTCTGCCACACTCAGGTTCCTGATCCGAAGCAATGGATGTTCAGAAACACACCATCAGGACGATGTTCCTAATGGGCACTCTAAACACAAGTGGCATCAAAACTACAACATATCCTTGCATGAGGACAAATTGCAAACAGGGCAAGGGCTGGGACACAGCCTTGCTTCCCACGAGATACATCTAGGTCATCTGTCGTTTGTCCACTCAGCTGGATCCTCGCCCACACACCACTGTGCAGGCATTCAAATAAACTTACAAAACTGCTCGGGCAAACAAAACCTACCACGATAAGCCATAGTGCCTCGTTGATCCAGTTGGACCCTATTCAGAACAGTACCTAAGGAAGGAACATTAATTTCTACCGATTCCCAGCAGGGGAGCAAAATATGGATATGCCAAAATTTCTGTACAAATTGGTTCCCACTGACTTGTGATTAGCCCACACTCAGCTCCACACAATGCACGTGTCATGCGCCCTTCACGCATATCATACTGGCATAGGATGACATAGTCAAGCAGGTGAGCGTGACCACTCAGTGGATGTGTCCAAGTAGCTATCTAACTCGCACCCGGTGTGTACTATATTTTTGATCGTCATACCCTGAGTGTCACACAAGTGAGGGCGACCGTCACTGTTCCCATTGGCCGAGCCAATACCATGCTGCCCGAGTGAGCTTCCTCACAAAGCAGCGTTACACCAATTGAGCGCACTGAAACCACGCTATAGGAATTGCTGGTCGCTCCTCGGCACGGATCGTACCACGGAGGATAACTGAGAGAAACATTGATCATTTTTCTAATCATCAAAATTCCTGGTGGGACCAGAGGAGTTAAGAAAAGTTTCAAACTTACTTAGTCAAATGCATAATCGGTGTGCCAACAATCTTGGGTTGATACCAGTCGGCGATCGGATAATACTAATCTGATCCCATGTTCACGTGGTGATGTGTTGGGAGTTCTCAGTCAGTAGTAAGTGTGATCAGCACCACTATCCTGCAGCCAGCCGAGTCTCACTGATTGCGACAATATCAAGGACGTAGCAACGGAGTATCATGGCGACAAGTGCAGTGCACCGCTTGGGCAGTGCATCCGTGTTCCAATGCAACAGCGTGCGCACGCTCCAGCATACCATCTTGGGTGCTTTCCACGGAGGCATGCGCTTGCGCCGGGCCGTTGCTGCGGTGGTGAGTGGGTTAGGGGTTGGGGCAGTTAGAGTGAGTAAGGCGAACTGATGGTTGCGAGGGCAGAATGTGGATTGGAGGACGAAAAGAAACATGGGAGGCGCCAGCAATTACATGTTTTCTTTTATAACCCACACTGCCTGTAGCAGATAACGTGACTCCTTTCCCGCACTGCGCGGCGGTAGATAAAACATGAAATTACTTGTACTTGTGTGATTCATGTTGTACAGTTCGGCTGATATATTACCAGGGTGTGTACGCATTGCCTTCTCAGCCCAAGCCTCAGATGAAACGTACACCCGAAAGATTGCGGGAAAATGCGCCACGGCTCCATTGACTCAGACCAATATGGCTCGGCTCGTAGCTAGAGAAAAAGGAAAACCCTACACCCACCCAGCGGTCGCCACCTGCAGGCACCCAAAACATAAGTCCACGGCAGAACTAGAGTAGCAGCGGATCAGTGGTTTGTCAAGATCCCGCCATCAGAAGCCCCAGCTAGCCGTAGACTTTCCGCAGTGACAGGTTCATCCGGAAATGGATGGCACCAGCCATACATAACAGCAGTTTTGACACATAGGTGCATATCATCTTTTAATACCGACTGTAAAAAAAATTATAGATCGTGGTGTAGCTGATCATCACCTTCATCATCAATATGCGTTAGCCGGGGGTAAGAAACACACCTCAGCTGGTGTGCCGCCATACAATACAGTAAGACATTAAGCAACATTGAATTAAAAGCTCTAGAAAAGTAACATAATGTCAATATCACCTTTTCGATGGTCCTTTGGATGGGAAGCCAAAGGAAAGGGGATGGACAAAGAGATTCACAACACAAACGCTACTGCGGTCGACCCTTCGTCATGTCAGCTAGTGTATCCAAACATACGTGTTCATCAGCCTTCGGTCTCCAGCCGCGCAGTAGGGAAACACCAACCAACGTTAGCTTCGAAGTGAAGGACTTCAATCCTCTCGACCAACTCATCGCTTGGCGTCCTCTCCTCATCGTCCATCTACACCTCCGGCGCGCAGGCAACGCACGTCGCGGGAATCGGTGTACTGGCATGCGCAATACGTGGCTCAGCCATCGGAGCTGGTGCGTGATATAATGGTGCTTAGCGGTTCACTCACTGTTCCTACACCAAATATGCGATGCCGAACACGCTCATTGCTCACGCGATGCTCCCACCAGATATGAGCTAAGCTGCGAAGGCGTAGATGGTCGAACGTAGCTATGTCTACGGACTTGATAGGTCAAATTTCGCAATCGTACAGGAGGATTGTACGGGCAGCTGCATTGTGAACTCTGCTCTTCAGAGTGAGAGTAATGTCACGCCGGGGCCACAGATGGTAGAGATTAGCAAAAGAGAATCGAGCTTTTACTATACGATGAGTGATCTCAACTTCAATCCCACGAGCGCTGATATAGCTGTCCAGATACTTGAAGTTCTCGACAACTTCCATTTTGATGTAGGGGATGTTATTTGGTTATCCTACAAATTGGGTATTTTCGTTGCATACGTTTCTTTATATTGTTGACATTATCGTCAGTAGTACCAGACTGCGATTTAAGTCGCACTGTTGAGGTTGCCTAGCCTAGTAAAGAAATGCCTTCAGTAAAAACCCACCTGGAAGAACAACCAGACTCTGTAATCTCATCATTTGCGTACCTATCGATAGATAGTTGATACCATTTAGTTGGTTCAACTGAGGCCAATTTATTCGGAGGGTTTGCTTATTTTTGCTTCACGCTGTGAATTTAGGGTGGTTCCCAGAGCTGAGCTTCCTGTTTGCAGACATTTCGCCACCAGGCTAGGTTAAAACATTTCAGCTTCAAGGGATGTTATCTAGTCATGGAAGCAAGCGTCTACAGACAAACCACTGTGCTAGAGGATTGGCCCGACGTTCTCATCTGTACCCTAAGTAACAAATGTTCTAAATACTTTCCAGTTGGGACGCATCTCTCCACTTTACATGGCTTTGTGATTTACCTTAGCCTGATTGTCCAAGCCACTGACGTCTCAAAGCACCAGACCGATTGCCTAAGCCTGACAAAAATAGCAATGACTGTATACAGGCTTCGCTGAACTACTACATTCGGATGAATAATAGTGTTATTGGGGGTAATTTGGGTGACTCACATTAATTAGCAGCAAAAATGGTCTCTTAAATTGGTCGGAAAATAACCTCCTTGTTTAGATCTCATATTACGTTCCACAGAATCCTGCGATGCAAACCGCAAGTAACCCCTAGATTTTGCAAGAAAAATTAATGTTTTGGCTCTTTGATAAACGGTTTTTCACCTGGAGCTGTTTCGTCCAAAATTAATTGACCACGCTTTAGCCCACCGACTTTGCGTTGAGGCGATTTTCACAATGAAGCGAAATTATGAATCTGCTTGCTGTCTATTTAACCTATCTGATGAACCTACGAGTGCCGTCAAAGTTAATAGTAGGATTTTCACGGTACGGAGTGTGTGCTTGACACTTGTGTCTCCATCTAATCTATAAAACATGGCGGCTGATGCTGATGAGCAAATCAGTGGAGATGATATATTAGCTCAGGAGTTGAGAGAACTTGTTGGTCTCTTTAGGATAGTCTGAGATCTTTTGTCTGTTATGAGGCGAACATTCATCGATCCAGTTTCACGTGGTTTCGAATATAAACAGCTAATCTCTGTTCGGAGAGTTTTTTAATGAAAGACGCTGGAGCCATTTTCGTCAATACTGTATGATGCACTACAACGTACTACCACAAACGGTGACATCCAACACGTCCACTGAAATCCCTTAATCAACAACATCTTTGGTTACACTAACAACATTTGCCATGATTTTCAGCCCTCGGACGCTGGGAGTTACTTCTGCATTGCACGCTCTGTTGGACAGGAAGTTGCTATGGACTCCACCTACCTTACAGTGTTCAGTGAGTACATTTTATTTTACATACATGACAAATGCACCAGTTCAAAATGTCTTATCACATCTGTGGTAGTTATAAAGTAAACTTGCGGTTCATGTCTTTTTCCCATTTGGGTAGACATAGCAGCAGTAGGTTTTATCCGAACTAACAATGAGCCTTATGGTGTCGCATCTGCATCTTCAGCAACCTTGATTTGGGTACAAACGCTTGATATACATTTGAAACCTATCAGGAACAGATGCACTAGGAAAACTAAAGCGATTGGTTTTTCTATTTGTTGAGCGAGGAGGCTGGAACTTACAGTGGTGCGACAGTTTGCGTGCCTCAGCGATTCATTGAGTTGTGTTGGTTTGCGCTTCTAGCATCTTTAGAGTCACTCATACCAGATTGGTGAATGGCTAGAGGCCAGGCAAACTTAGCATCTTGTTCCGCCAGGTTGCGACTTGGAGTGAGAGGGCTCCATATTCCTTTAAACGGACTCCTTATAACGCCCTACCAAACCCGCTGCCTTGCGGTCAGGTTTTTGAACCAAACACTTTGGTTGAGAACCCTAATCATTCTCCTGTCTAGGTCTAGGCAACCTCACAGTTTCCTGCCCATGCAAAACCACAGATCATTTCATAAACGATTTCTTGATGCTCTGGCCGTTGCAAAGAATAATAGGCGGTGTGCTGTCTGCTGCAGGGTTAGATGGGGATCTAGATGCTACTGCTCAACCCTTCACGTATTCTTATCCCACTCTTACGCTTTTTCACCCTTATCATCCCGTTCCAACCACACTTATCTCTCCGTTTTCAGCCCCCAATATTTGCTCCTTTGCACCATTTTTTGATAGGTACTTCTAATTTCAACTCACAGGCAAACGCGAAGCATCACTCCTGCCCTGTCGACAAACCCATATCCAACCAAGTAGATAAGCCCATTACATCGGCTTAGATCCTCCCTCAGATTAGCATTTCCGACATACGCACACTGTTACAGCTCCGTCAACGGGCAACATTTACCCGAACATTAGAGACCCTCTCGATCGATATCAGTTGCATATCGAAAACCCCCTGCAAGCATCATCCACTATGTTCACTCTGCGAGCCCCTTCAGATGACACTTGCAATTCTTTCTCACTGCGTTTATCCGGAGATTATGCAGCTTTGAGTGCCGGCCATACCGGTGTGGGGATTGTCTTGAGTCTCCAAGATGAAGCCGTTCCGATTGATTGGATCCCAATCAGTAGCCGGATGTGTGCGACACTGGCAGCACATTCTTATTGCGCCTGTCTGGCGATGATGCAGCTTCAAATGCCGGTGAAGCTGGCGTCCGTATTGTTTTGAATCCCCTGGTGGAAGCTACTCTTATCGATTGGATCCCAGTCAACAGTCAGATGTGCGCCGTTAGATTAGCTGTTTCCTTGCATGCCACGAAGTCGCGCGGAAACAAACGGTTCCTGTCTGCCATTGCGGCCTACGTCCCTACAAACTGTAGCGCTGATTCGGTGAAAGATGATTTCTATCAGCAACTTAACGATCTCCGTTACAGAAGAAACATGGATACTGTGGTGCTGGCTGGCGATCTAAACGCCCAAGTCGGAAAATTGTCCTCTGATGAGCTTCATCTGGGCGGCCAACATGGTGTAGGCTCCCGTAATGATAATGGTGAGCGATTGCTCCAGCTATGTGAAGATGCTCGCCTTTTTCTGGCGAGCACTAACTTTCGACACAGCACCCGCAGAAGTGTAAATGGCGCCAACCAGTCTCGCACCAGCCATGGAAGCAAACTGATCATCTCGCGATCAGGTACCGGTGGAGAGGTTGTGCTCAAAACTATCGCTCGATTTGGAGCACGGGCGTGGACTCTGGCCACGAACTTATTGCGCTGACCTCCGGGTGCGTTTAGGTGAACGTCCGCAACGTCAACGTGAACAGATTGACACTAGCCAGCTGGCGAAGCTAGGTGTTCTGAATGTGTATTATAGTGCGCTGACATCCGGGCTGAGTATGCGTCCACTAAACACTGTCAATGATCACCGGATGCATTTTCGCCAAACTTATGGATGCTCACCGAGGTATTCCGGCTGGAAGCGAATACTATGAGACTCGTAAACGTCTCAGGACAAAACTGCGTGCTAGCCTGAAGAGGGATCGCGAAGCCTGGTGGTCTTATCGTGCCTCGGAGATGGAAACAGCCGCTGCCGTTGGCAATCATCGCAAGTTATTTCGTCATATACGGGAAACAGGCAGTAGGAGACCTGGTGTTAGCGAGACAATACACGATGAGAGTGGACAGCTGATCCATAGCCTGTCAAAACGCTCGGAGCGTTGGGCCGGACACGGCAAGGCAATTTAACCAACCTGAGTTATCGCTTTCTTTTTCGGATATTGAGCGCATTTCTCCCTGGGCCATCTGCTTGGATCTGCCCTCACGAGCAGAAGTCGAACATAAGATCAAGCTGTTGAAAATATATAAGACCGCAGGGGCAGATAGAAGTTAACCAGCCCTCTTCAAATTTGGGGTACCTGTTCTAGTAGATGATTTACACGAGTTGCTAGTGAAACGTTGGGAGCAGGAGACTGTCCCGGCAGACTGAAGCCGCTCCGTCATAGTCCCAATTTGCTAGGGAGGCTCCCGTGCGGAATGCAGCAATAATAGTGGGATCAGTCTGATTTCGATTGCCTCTAAATTGCTTGCCTCTGTCGTTCTCCACAGACTGACTGGTGCTCGTGAAAGCCAGATCCGTGAAGAGCAAGACGGGTTTCGTCGAGGTCGGGGCTGCATCGACCACTTCTTCACCTTGCGTCAAATGTTGGAGCACGGTCAAATATACTGATGGCCCACCGTTGTCGTGTTTCTTGACATAAAATATGTCTTTGACTCAATCGATCGATGTGTCCTTTGGAACTATCTGCTGAAAAAGGTGTTCCTGATAAATACCTAAACATTCTCAAAACGCTGTACGCGCATACTTCGGGTAGAGGGAGGGCTTATGTCAAATTGTCACCATCCTTCAGTATTACCTGCGGTGTTAGGCAAGGTTGTCCGCTGTCACCTTTCCTATGTAACTTCGCAGTTGACGAAATCATGGAATCAGCATTCTCTTGACACGACCTAGAAGGTGTGGAACTACCTCCTGGTGAGCGACTTCTTGACTTGAAGTATGCGGACGATATTGTTTAAATCTGTGACGGCTGCCAACCATGCCAAGCAGCACTGGACCGATTAGCACTACCTGTCTATCGTTTTGTGCTATGCTTTGCTCCATCGAAATGCAAAGTACTTCTTCAAGCTTGGCAGAGACCCAGCTGTATGCTAACGTTTTGTGGTGATCCGCTAGAAGTCGATCAGGAATTCAAGTACCTGAGCAGCTATATCAGCGCCCGCGGGATCGAAGCTAAGGTTACGAACCGTATAGCAAAACTCGAAGTGCATTTGCCAATTTTCGCCACCTGTGGTGCAGACGCGACATTACTCTCGCCCTAAAGGGCAGAGCTTATAACCGAGCCGTCCGTTCAACCCTCCTATGTGGTTGTGAAAGCTGGCGCATCAGGTCGACAGACATAAAGAGACTCGTCAAATTCGATCATCGCTGCCTTGGCAGTTTTGCTCACATCTGGTGGGAGCACCGCATGAGCAATGAGCATGTTCGGCGTCGCGTGTTTAGTGCAGGAAGAGCGAGTGAATCGCTCAGCACCAGGCTCCGATGACGGAGCCACGCGTTGCGCATGCCAGCACACTTACTCCCGCAAAATGCATTGTGCGCGCCGCCGGTGCGGTTGTAAGAGGAGGAGGAGGGCAGTCCAAACAATGACTTGGTCGAGAGGACGGAAAACCCTCACTTCGAAACTGGCGTCGGTTGGTGTTTTCCGACTGCCTGTCTGGGGTCCTAATGACGATGAAAACCTTTGGTTGGACACACTAGATGATATGGCAAAGAGCCCCAATGGCGTTTGGGTTGTGAGTTTCTTTGTCCACCCCGTCCCTTTAGGTTCCCCCTCCAATCCCGATCTCATGCAAAACACATAACATAATATTCAGCATCATATTTATTGTAATGTGTTTTATGGTTTCTAGTGTGCATTATTAGTCGCTTACCTTTTACTGTGACACCTTAGCTGAGGTGTTTCTCAACCTCAGCTAACGTGTACTGATTGTGATGATGATGACGATGATGATGTGTGCGGTCCGACTGGCTGGCTCGTTCATAGGTTCGCAGTCACGCGCACACAAACGGTGCCTGATTATGCTTGTGGTGAACACATGCCCACAAAATGCAGCGCCGACTCAGTGAAAGATGAGTTCCATCGCCAACTGAACGAGCTCCTTTGCCACAGAAGAAGCGCGGATGCAGTAGTGTTGGTTTGGGGATCTGAACGCTTAAGTTGGGAAATTTTTCCACTAATGAACTTCATTTCGGTAGCCAACGCGTTTCGGGATCCCGTACTTAGAACGGTGAGTGGTTACTTTCTTTGTGTGAAGATACCCGCTTATTTCTTGCGAGCATTAACTTCCGGCGCAGCACTCGCTGAAGAGTGACATGGCGCCCACAAGCACTGGACCAGCGTTGAACGCAAATCGATCACATCGCGCTCAGTCAACGCGAGAGAGGTTGCGTCCAGATCGGTCGGTCAATTTGTAACGCATGTGTGGACACTGATCACGCAGTTTGTGTGCTGATCTGCTGGTGCGTTTTGGTGGACTCCCGTCACGACGCGGTGAGTGCATAGACACCAGCCAACTGACGAAGTCAGATGTTCTGTATGCGTATCGGAATACACTGGCATTCGGGTTGAGTAAGCGCTCACTGGATACAGTTGAAGGTCACTAGTCCCATGTTCATCAGACTTTATTAGCAGCAGGCAAATCCCAAAGTGGTAAATCTGATAGCCAACCTCAACATTAGGTCTCTACGCAGTCTTCGTAACTTATCGATGCTCACCGGCAGATTCCGGCTGGAAGCGAACACGAAGATCACAAAGCCATCGGGGCAAAACCGTTCAAGCCCGAAGAGAGATCGCGGATCCTGGTGGTCTCACTATAGGTTAGAGACTGAAGTAGCCATTGCCCTTGGCAATCATCGGAGGTTATATATCTGATAAGGGAAATGAGATATAGGAGACCTGGTGTTATTGATACGAGAGTGAACAGCCAATCCACAACTTGTCGAAACGCTTGGAGCGTTGAGCCGAGATTTTTGAAAGGCAATTTAATCGGCCGGAGATGGCAGATTGTTCACTGGCTACTGATCGCTCTGCTTTCTGGACTGTCCCTTTGGATCCGCCCTCTTGCTCCGAGTTCAAACTTGAGATCGGACTGCTGAAATAGAATAAAGCTGTGGGACCAAATGATCTTCACCCAGCCCTCTTCAAACTCAGTGGATCTGTTCTCTTTGAGGATATACACGAGTTATTAGTGAAACTATGGGAGCAGAAAGCTGTCCCAACTGACTGGAGCCGCTCTATGATTGTCCCGATCTCCAAAGGAGACACGTCTTCGGAATGCGGCAACCATAGAGGAATCAGTCTGATCTCCATTACCTCCCCGTTAATTGCCTCCGTCAGTCTTCACAGACTGACTGGCACACGTGAAAGCCAGGTTAGTGAAGAACAAACAGGGTTTTGTCGAGGTCAGAGCTGCATCGATCACATCTTCCTTTTACGTCAGTTGTTCGAACACCGTCACATACATATATTGGCGGCTCATTGTTGCTTTTTTTATCGACGTCAAAATGCCTTCGATTCGGTGAATCCATGTGCCATTTGGGACTGTCTACTAAGGAGAGGTGCACTCAGTAAATATGTAAATATTACCCGGGCGCTTTGAGCACATAGTTCGGGTGGAGTGAGTGCCTACGGCAAGCAGTCGCGGAAGCCCGCTGTCACCATTCTTCTTCAACTTCGCTATTGACTAAGTCATGGAAAACGCATTCACTGGACACGACTTAGAAGGTGTGGAGCTGCTCCCAGAGGATGGACTTATTTACTTGGAGTATGCTGCCGAACTTACCATTATATGTGACAAGCTGTACTAAACAGATTAGCACGGCTGACAACTGTTACGGGCTTTGCTTTGCACTCTCAAAGTACAAAAGGTTCCTCCAAGATTGACAGGGACAGCCTCCTGCGCTGCCCGTTGGTGGTGAGCAGCTAGATATCGTTCAGAAACTCGACTACCTAGGTGCCTGTGGAATCGAAGATGAGGTCACAGACCGTGTAGCAAAAGCTTGACGTACTTTTGCTAACATTCGCCACCTATGGCGCCGAGGCGACATCACTGTATCCCTGAAGGGTAGAGTGTACAATGCTACGGTAAGTTCGATCCTACTGTACGGCTTTGAAACCTGGCCCATTAAATCTGCAAACTCAAGGAGGCTAGTTACGTCCGAATACCGGTGCCTTCGCATTTTGATTCATATCTTTTAGGAACACCTCCTGAGCAATGAGCGTGTTGGGCGCCATGTTTATGGCACAGGAAGGGGGAGTGAAGGGCTCAGCACCGTAATTTCACGAGCCGGGCTCCGATGGCTGGGCCACGTTTTGCGCATGCCGGCTCACCGGCTCCCGCGTCATGCGCTGTTTACACGACCGGGGTGTGGATGGAAGAAGAGGAGGAGAGGCCAAGTCACAACCTCGCCAAGAGGAATGAAGGTCATTAGTTCGAATATAACCTCGGTTGGAGCTTCTCAGCTCCCTATTCATCCAGGAAATAGGTTAAACACGTTTGACTGGATAAACCTGTTGACATGGCTAGGAACCCACCTCATTGGCGTTTGTGATTTCAGCTTCTTCGTCCTCCCACCCACTTAGCTTCCTATCCTCATTTCGGACACATAATATAACTTATTTTTAAGGCGAATGACCGGCTGTTAGCTCTCCGAAACGAGTTCTATCCGATACTTGCGGTTTAGCTGGCGTGCCTTTGTTATATCATTTTTTCCTCTCCCATGTATTGCGACACAATAGCTGAAGAGTATCCCATCTCAAGGTAAGGTGCACAATGATGATCTAATGATGGGCGATGTTTCGATTTCGACGACAGACCCCACTGGTGAAAGTCATGCAGATTAAAGTACCGCGGATCCGTCCTAACTGACTATGTCAAATGATGTGAAAATTCCGTCTGTAGCAGCGGTTAACATCCACACGAAACACCGCCATTGAAAAGTAGGAGTGAGAAGAGAGAAAATAGCCCTGGGTTAAAAGCCAAATACGCACAATCTGGATTAGGATGTTTGCAGTATGATAATGTCACTTCCGCGAACTGTTGGTTATTGTACGAAGATAAGGTGGGTTTGGTCGGGTGACTCTTGTGAATTTAAACGTCTCGCGTCGAAAGCCGCTTTATCTCCCGCATAATGCAGCGACACGCAAGTTTCAGGTAGACCAGTAAGAAAGTGTTGGAACGTACGCCACTTGTGCCGGTTGTCAGCTATGTATTTAATGTTTTGGATTAAGCATAGGGTCGGTTCCGTGGGCCCACGTTTGGAGACTGAGACAGACCAACAACCAGCTGTTTGGTTGACCGTAGCTTGTAATACGCTACTTAATCAACGGTTGCTCCTGTCGAACCGTGCGCCAACCCTGACTCCTCAAACAGGACAGAGTACTCCTCAGTGCGCTGTGGGCGGTTATACGACTTATGGCTTACCTGTAAATCTAACTCGGTTGAGCGTCGCCGCCAGTGTGAATGATCATGTCAGCTCAAGTAGCTAGGCCAGTGCGCATTCTCCCTAACTTGTTTGCGAAACTGAGCCGCGATATCATCCATAGAAGCTTGGCTCGTTGTCTAAAGAATGCCTCAGAGAGGCAGCATGCGTAGCTATAAGGGATGGGACAAGCTGTTTGGCTATTAGTTGTTCAATAACAGCGATTTCTATTACCCAAAATAGACCCATCGCATAAACTGTTTTTCCCAAACCTATGGGTCGCTGCCCAGTCGCTATTTGATTTGGAAGGATATGCTCCGTAGGTGCCTCCAGGGAGGGTGAAATTGTGGTCCAGCATCTCTCACATCGATTTCCGACCTCAACCTCGAATTCACGGACTGTTTCCATCCAGCGTCTTCATTCTCCATCTTGTCGACGACTTTAAGGAAAGCCCCATTCCCATGGTCCGTGTCACTTACACGTCGGATCAAGTGAGAAGACGCTGGTAAGGCTTTACATGGTCTCAGGTAGCTCCAAACTGGGGGTGAAAACGTCGAGACAGATGCAATGCAGTTCGCAGTTTTGGTCGCGTTCACCTTCACGTCAACCTGCACATTTCCTACACTGCTGTCTCAGGGTAGTGAATCACCTGCACAGTATAACTCCAGCTTGCTTACCAACATAGTTGTGTGGGCTTCGGCTATAAGCAAACAAACGGAACTGCAAGGTAGATGTGGTCCGAGAGTGTGGGTTGAAGCAGGCTGCGTGTTGCGAGTTACCTGAAGAATGGGCGTTGAAGCCAAGGCAATAGACGCGGCTTGAACACAGAAGTATACTAGTGAAGAATTGAGTATACAGTTTGGTTTCCGGAACGCACTGACAAACGACTGGTATTTTATTGTGGCTTTAATAGCGTGTCCCCACATGATCGGTGGCGGTAGTAATAGGCTAATTTAACTGAAGTTTGCGAAGATCGAAACGAGAACAGTGTTTAATGCTATTCCAAAGTGCCAACGGGGGAGGACATTGATGCATGTGTCGCATTTTGTGTCTACATCGCTCCCGCGGAACTTACTGAGGCCATAAGTTTGGATCCGTGAGTGTACGCCAAGGACATCTGACACCCGCCGTTTTGGGCGGTAACAAGCGTTAAATGGATAACCAAAGAGGCAGAGGAGTAGGTAAACAAGCTTTGTGAACGCCGTTTAGAAGTTACAGGTGGCTTCTAGTTGAACCACATCAACGGATCTTCAGTAGCCTCTACTAGCGTCCTGCATATCTATAATTTCTCACAAGACATATATGGTGGAGAGAGAAAATAAAGCCGTGAGTAATGAGGGTTTGCGTGGACGAGCCGGGAACCCAGGCATCTAGTTAGTTAGTGATGGAGTCTTCGCGGACAGTCAAACGTCCTGCATTCTCAGGCTCCTTGAGGTCGTTAGGATCGACCGCGAAAGCTCACCGCTGTGCTCGCAAAACCAGGTGATAGCGACAGAATTTTCCGTAGCAGTTTGGGCCAATCAGCCACCATTTGTCCACGAATAGATCGCACGTGATCTTGTCTCCCCGGCGTCTGTCATTCGCTACATGTGCTTGATTGACAAGAGTGCAGGAATTGTCGCTTCGGATTCTCCTATTAGGGATATAAGTTGGTATATTTTGCTTCAACTAATAGCGTGGTATGATTGCATGCTCGCATTCAACCTTCACACGGCAGCCACCACGATTGTACGGAGTAACACAACAGGCCGGTTTGTTGTTTGTTCTAATAAATGTTCATGCTTTTTTTTAGCCAAACCCACCTTTGAACGAACTCCGAATAAAACCACCGAGGCGTATGAAGCACGTTGGATTCAATTTCGGTGTGTTGCCAACGGTCACCCGAGGCCCGATGTTCGTTGGACCCTTAACAACGATCCCATTCCCAGTAAGTATGCTTCAGCTAATAGCTCAGCTAAGTCAATTTGTCTCGACTATCTGTGTGACGATTCCAGTCCTATCCCTATTTTTTGTAGAGGTTAGGATTTTCATTATGCTCATCTGCTGAAGTATCACCGCTACGTTGAGGCTCTACACCCACTCATTTCTAAACTGTCTACTTCGTATACTTGGGTCACTCCTGCATAACGCCGTAAATGGCGTCTATCCGGCACGACTTCTGTATCAGTTTCTGTGGATTTCATGAGTCCACTATGCATCGTCAACCAGGCACACATCTGTGCAATTCCCTTAAGGTGCTAGTCCGTCGGCTCATACGTGAGCCAGGTTCTCCATTCATTCTCTTACGTACGCCCTCACATAATGTAACTGCACGGGTAGAAAGTGAATGCTTACTTCCGTTCACTAACTCTCCTCTTTGTTATTGGGAATTCACCTTCCTTTTAGTTCATTTTCGCATCATAAAGCTGGTTCGCGTTCATCATATTCTGAATGCAGTCATATCCAAGATTTGGTGATCTCCATGGAATCGCTGTTGGCTGCTTGGTTCTGTCGGGCATCAGTTGCGCTTATGAATCGCTAATCGAACTCTTGGCCTAGGGACTGCCGTAGACACTATTACTAGGCTGAGCTTCATCATTAGCACGTTGCACTAGGTTCAGGGGACCTTCAGTTAGATTACCGCGCCTTCTGAACCAAGCTGGCCTGCCGCATTTCTATCTTCTGTAGGCTAAACCTAACGCTGCTCCGTCTTGAAGGAGTACACGCTTCCGATTCATTTGAACGTTGCTAGTGGAAAGGCTTACTTGTGATGCATTTCGGGGAGCAGTTCATAACTGCAAGCTTTCATTGCTGTTGCGTACATCTCTAGACGTTTGTTCTAACTCATTACTTTAGTAGCCTTGTTTTCCGTTAACAGTCGTTGTTTCTGGCGGCTTACCTCAGTTTTGCTCCTGAGCTTGACACTAACATTTCCCCGGCTCTTGAGTGCGTCTGACTGTTGCTTCAAGTGACTGCCCTCTTATTGGCTGATTCAGTCCGGTGTTTTTATTACCTTGGTTGGTCTTGTCTACTGCTCGTCTGTTATACAACAGTGCCATGTTGTGATGAAAAAAATTGTCCCTTCTCGTTTTGGTTCTCGTTGCCAACGTGGTTTGGAACAGTTGGGGGGGGGGGATACCGCAGACGTCAGTATAGTAGATGCCAGAGCGCTACATGCGTGCGGACGCTCCACGTGGTTGACTTTGGCAGGCCAAACATAACCACACCGTACCTAGCTTACTGAACCTGATACGATACGCTTTGCCTTGTCACTCGCATACTGAGTAGTGTTTTGCGGGTTGAGTATGCAGTCCAGTGGTCTGTAGGTCGGCCTGTCAACCGCATGGCCGAGGTTCAAATCCCGGGTGCGTCGCGTTTAAGGTTATATTTATTACGTTTCTTCACCGCAGTTGGGCTGGAGTAAATTACACCTAAGCTTGTTCCGCATTACTCTAAATCTGACTAAACCAGTTATTTCATTTGCTCAGTTCTGTTGATCAACCGCATCGCCAACGTTTATTCTACGCGTTTTTTGTTCATTTTCGGTGTTAGTCGGTTGATATCCGCTAACTTACACTGGCACATTATCACCCTTACACTAGATCAGACTCATCACATTGACTATTCAGTTTGCGTGTTTAATTTCTTCATATTCTGTGTTGGTTTTCGATATTCCCGGTGTGGCTGCGCTTGATATAAATGTTGACAAGGTGCCTACATCCCTCCACCTCGATTACTGGCTTCTGCAGACTGTGAATCGTTGTTGGGGGGGGGGGGGGGGCGGGATGCACAGTCTGCGTGGCCGTGCTAGGCTCAAAAAGTGGTTCCATCCAGTGTGGAGCGCGTTACGGCCCAGTCACCGCCTTGTGTACTTCTGGTCTGCATGATTCCCTACATAGATAGACAGGAATGCTGCTACTGTGCATGTTGAATGAGTGTGGGACGGCTCCGTTGATGAAACGTGGCCCTCATTCACATGCGTCCCGGTCTTATTCGGGTTCACGCTGCATATGGGGTGTATGGATAGAGCTGTGAGTGGTGCAACGCAAACCACCCATGGTCTTTCAGTAGGCGCAGACGTCCTGTGGCTGTCTCCGTGGAGGCCGCAATGACAGGCAACCGGAATCGGATGCGCCAATGTTGTCAGGATTAGCGGGTTACTTGTGTGTTGCCACAGTGAACATGCTGACGCACCTTCATACGGTTAAGTTACAGTGGCGAGTTTGTTTGCAATCCAGAAATTGAACGGTTCAATGGCCTGCCAGGCGTGGCGCTTAGTCCCAAGAACTGGTACCGCACTTACTCAAATTTTTCCCTGTCATGAAACGTATCATGTGGCTAGCCGATTAATTAGCCGACTTTAGCGATTGACACAGGACTCAAAGCGTGCCATTTGACTGATCGACTAATCGGGTCACAGGTCTACCGGCTACACGTTGGTTCAATCAGTTGCCTCGGTTTCACAATAAACCACCAAAAACTACACCATCGAGTTGCCAATTGTCGATACGAATTTCCAGCAATCATCTGATCAATTAGTGTAACAGTTGACATGATCTTGTGGTTGTCATCTGTTTGGAAACACTTTCGCGACTGTTGCCCACGGTGGTTATAAAATGTTGTGCAGTTTTTAGGTCAATTCATTAAACCCGCAGAAGCATTTCTATCAGGGACAGTAGGTAACTACACTAACCGATTGTATTCAGGCCTTGCTTAAGTGCTGCATCGGGTTTATTTGTGACTACGTATTAGACTAGTTTTACTGATATTTGTGAGATGGCTACACTACGGGCTCTCTTTATTTATCCCTACTGTTCATCTCCCAACCTTGTAGGCAACCCTAGCAAGAATGGAATTGGATCACTTGTCCTCGGGCCGTTGCGCACTGACCAATCGGGACTGTACGCTTGTGTGGCAACAAACGATGCGGGGAAAACGGAATATGCATTTGAACTTCGGGTGAAAAGTGAGCAACATGTTCTGAGTAGTGTGTCTCAGCATTTTTGCGCAGCGCTGGTACGACTGAGTGTAGAACTACCGTGACCCTCAATATTAACAACGAGTAGCCTTCAACATGCTTGTTTCGCTTTTGTTATAGGGTAGGAGAGCTTAGATGTAACATTAATTGCTAGCAGAGGCTAAAATAACCGGTCACCTTGGTATTCCTGTTCCCCATGATATTTAGGTAGATTGTGTTAACCGTAAGACGCAATTCAGCCCAATGAAATGGCATTTGGTCAGTGAAGGGAACAGAATTAGCGGACAAATGCGCCAACATTTGGTCACTTCAGTGATGACCGTGGTCCCAACTGAAATTCTTTGTCGAAATGCAAATTCACATCGATCAAACGACGAGGAACTATGAGTCCAATTTTTTCCCACTTGTTTGATTGGCCTAGTCTTCACTACCTGCTGATAGAAAAGCGGACATACGGAGGCTAACAGACGACGCAATATGCAAAGCCATATACAGTTGACTGTGTGACTTGCTTTATTCTAGTGCTTGTCGCATACTTGATATAATGGCAGTATACCAGTATAAGAGTCGGATGGCCTGAACTTCGTAATTCGTATTTAGAACCGACTGCAACAGTACCTAGACCGAGACATTGCTAGCTTGTATTACCATATTCACTTGTGTGCAATCGGCTTTCGAGGGACCAGATGTGATTAAGCAAAATCCTCGGAATTATTTTGATCCTTATTAGCCTTAGTTCCTTGCTTGTTAGCTAATAAAATTGTAATATTTGCGCCTGATGTGTTACCTTGCCCTCCTCACTGTTAACATGTACCTTAATGTGGAATAGCTAGAGCTTGAATCCCAGCGTTTTGTACTCTCATTGGGCTTTACTGATAGCAACTCGGTGTTCGGGCTTTCTTTTCAACCTGTCAGCTCGACCCCGAGTTCATTTGTACCAGTCAGATGAACCAATCAAGGTCAGCAACTCGACGCACTTACACTGCGATGTGAGTGGGGATGCGGATTCAGTGATTTGGCTCAAGGATGGTGACGTGTTGTCCAATTCCAGCCGGATAAGAATCATGGATGAAGGAAAAAGCTTGGTCATTAGTATGACGAAAGTGAGTAATTCCCAGAATAACTGCATTGATGACGGCAGCTCGTTGGTGCCATGGCGCTTCTGGAGTACTGAGCACCATTGTCTGTCGAGAATTTGGCTAATTCTCGTTTTACTTCTCAATATTTTCCTAATTACCGGCGCTACATATCCTAGGACGACATCATCTGCGTATTTACTTCCGCGGAACTACATGGTATGAGTAAAGCTTCAACGTAGATGGAAAACAGAAAGTGGATAAAATCGCTCTATGCAAAACACCATATAGAACTGTGTAAAGCTTGTACGGTTTGCATGGTGAGCACACAAATATTACATATGTATGAGGAGGACCATTTTGAGCAAAAGATTTAGTTATAACGATCTATCAAGTCTCCCAAAAGCACTGGTAGAGTCGAGAAACAGAAGCGCACTATCTTGCTTCTCTATCCAAAACAGGTGCAACGGAATGCATATAGTACGAAACGGCATCCAGTGTGGGACATACTGTCTTGTAGGCAAAATGATTCCATCTATATGCTGGCTTGTGAAAATGCATGGGATTAGTAGTTTTGCAAACAATTTTAACAGCACGGGATTGCAAGTTATTGACCGATACTTAGGTAACTCTTCCTTTGGCGTTTGTATCATTTCAATTTCTTCCCAGATTCCGGAAGTGGTACCAGTCATTAAACAACTCTGTGAAATGTGACTGTAACGTATACACACCCTGTTTCGGAGCAATTGGTGACATGGCATCAGAGCCACTAGCCTTGTTTGGCTTTAGGCTTTTGAGTTCCATGTAAAGACTGATGTAATCAAGTAAAATTGGATGTTCAGTGATGAGGAAGGAAGGTAGAGGGAATGTGTTCAATGATGAGTGACTAAACACTGTGTTTGGCTTGTTTACATCCACAGTACCCCGTGAGTTACAGAAATATTTGCAATTGAGTTGCTTCAAGTGCCGCAACAGTTTACGCCAACTGTGGTTTCCTAAAACGGCTTCCATGTATAGGCATTTGACTTATATTGATAAGCATACTCTTTTTTCCCACGCGATTGCCTGAGTAGTGAGGATGAAAATCTCTCAATCCCTAGACAGATAGCCACAATTTGGCAGCGCAAATTGAAACACAAATTAACATCATGTATGAGGTAGGTGCTCGCATGGAGCGGATAAGTCCTTACTGGGGAAAATTGAAAAGTCGGTTGAATGGATCGTCTATTTAAGTTTTGTAATATTTCCTATCGAACGGTTTCGTTGTTAGACAGTTTGCAACGGACTTCTGGTTATTGCAACATAGTTGACCTTACAATAAGTTGTTGGGGAAAATTTCACGATGCAGTGTTCCGAGTTTTCAAGGGATGCCTATTTGTGGAAAACAGGTTGTGTTTCAATTAAATCTGAATCCAAATGTGCGTCGAATCTCGTGAGAAATTCCGCCAAATTGGTTGGGTCCAATATTTTAATGTCGACAATGTCACTCCTATTGAAGTCACCAGCAATGAGGTGGTTAGAGTATTCTAATGTTACGGCTCAAAGAAAAGGTCAATTGCAAACTTATATTTATATCTCTATTGCTTTCCCAACTACGACAGGTAGAAAAACACTGAGAAACCTGTGGTTGCATTTCATCAGATGATAGCTTATTGAAGCCGCTGAGTAACCGGACAGCTGCGAAACATAGCATTCGGTGGCTGTGGGGGTTGCACCCTCATAAGTGAATATGGCTACGCTGATACCTCAACTATAGTTAACTATAGTCCATTCGAGCTCTGCTTTTAAGCACTGCAGCGCCTGTCCCTCCAAATATTTTGGCCAACCTCACTGCCCTAAGCAGACAAGCATCGAGCGTGCCTGTCTGCCACCACTCCTTTCAGCGACGCATCCCACATTAAGTCTGTGGAAATAACGGCAGCTCTGAGCCGAAGTCAGTCCACCGTCGAGAAATGCCTGGCGTCGTACATATCAGTTGCCTCCATGTAAACGCTGGAGAGAACAACCCTGACTCTGGTAGCCACACCGAGCGACATCAGGGTGAGGCAGCTTCCAACTTCTACCGCTAAAACGAAAGTCAAGTGAAGGAGTCACCGTAACCGCTGTGTACACAAATGTTCCGGAATCAGAGGCTGATGTCATAAAGAAGGAGCTGATGGACGACCGTAACTAGTGGGATTCCGCTTCTGGTGCATTTGGCATTTCGATTGAGCCTACGGCGCTGAAACTGGTCTCACGTCACCCGAATTCAGTACACTGCGGTGAACGTCGACTTCTTTGGGTGACACTGTGTTCTGCTGATTGCGAAAGGCCCTTCTACTGTTGTTGATGCGGTCACTTAACTCATTACAAGAGATGTGCACGATTCTGGATATCATTTGTACAGTACGCGTGAGGAATTTCGCCTATCTGTTGACAAACAGGCGAACGTCGTCTACGATGTTCCCGAGCTACAAGCTTCCTCCTCCGAGTAAGCGCAGGCACTTGACTTGGAGCAATGGTATAAAAGTTGCCAAGGAATCTCTCGGTATTATCATTGTTAAGCAGGGGAATAGTCCTCGGTTGATAAAGATGAGGCTTCAGTCCGAGCTAATGACACCTCTTATTTTAGAAATCCAGTTTCAGTTCCGCAATTGACTGCCTACGGAAATTCGGTTAAATGCAGCAGGTACGTGATTATAGGTGGTTCATAATTTACTAGAGACGGCCACATCAGTTAATCTTCCCCTCATCGAGTTCCATGAAGAAACTGCGTCGAGATACAAGCCGCCATCACCTGCCGGACAGTCACGTACAGGCGTAAAACCAAACCGAACGTCATGAGCCAAGGACTTCCAGAAAAGCGATTAGCAGCTGGCCCCTCAACTGTCGGCACAGTCTCCCGTCTTAAGCTAGTATGCGCTAACTCACTTTACCGACCACGCGACTAGGAATTCCTGTGGTGGCAAAAGCTGGATGTGATGGCACATAACAAACATCATTGGCGCCAGTGTTGTGTGTTGTTGTCCATCTGTGTGAATTAATCCTAGTTAATATAATATTATATATATATATATTATATATAATATAATATATAGTATATATATATATATATAGTAATATTATATAAATGTAGGCGTTCGTAGGCACGCGGAATTTCGATTTAACTAACTCGCATGATTCCATGGCATAAGTCTCTGTATTTCCAGGTGTGGTGGGTTTTCGGTTCTCTCCTAATGCCTTTCTTTCTCATATAAATATCTAGTGGGCCATGAGCTGTGCATTTGGGGCCACTACGGAAGCGACGACGGGTCCTGCAGAGAATTACGGTGAGCCAACGCAGCGTTTGTAGGCACACTGAATTCGATTTACTAACCGCGTGCTTGCATGCTAAGTCTCTTTATTTCAGGTGGTGGGTTTACAGTTTTTACCTTAATGCTTTTCTTTCTCATATAAATATCTCCCTGTACTCTATTCCATTAACTTGCACACATCGCTTCAGCCAATTGTATTCGATTTCCATAACTTTTTTGTGTTCGTGGCATTCCGTGAACTATACTTCCTGACCTCGTGCACTTAGCTAGGATTTGTTTGTAAACAACTTATTACGTATGCTATTTAATTAAGGTGTATGTCACCGTTTCCTTATGCATTAATCGAGTATTTCTCTTTTTCTTTCTCTCTCTCTCTCTCAAGTGTTTGGCTGTTGTTTGATATCCCCGGTGTGGCTGCGCTTGATGTGCATGTTGACAAGGTGCCTACCTGTCTATTACCCACTACCTCGTCCATACTGGCTCCAGGAGACAGTTGGTCGTTGCTGGAGGGGACGGGTGCACGGTCCTTGTGGCCGTGTTAGGCTCGAAGAGTGGTTCCATGCACTCAGTGTGGAGCGGACTACTGTCCAGCCACCGCCTTGTGTGCGCTTGATTCCCCAAATACAGCGTGCTTGTGTTTGCCTGTGAAGGAGTGTGGGCCGGCTCCGTTGATGAAACGTGGTTCCCATCCGCATGCCTCCCGGTCTTATTCCTTCGGGTTTACACTGGATCTGTGGGGTATGTGGTTGGAGCTGTGGGTGGTGCAGCGCAAGCCATCCATGGTCCCTCTGTAGGCGCAGGCGTCCTGTGGCTTGCCACAGTGACAGGCAAATCCGAAACCGGATGCCGCCAACCATATATATGTATAGTAGCCAGCGCTTGGAAGGTTTTCGCAAGGCGTTTCTACCGGAATAAAATAAACGAATGAAGCTAGAAGTGGTCAACGTGCTATTTATGTGCAATTAGCAGTACCAAAGTGTACGGACTTCAACAATTTGAGCTTCCAGTCTAACTCCGCAGTAGCCACTTGCAATTCGCTCCAAATATCTAGCAAAGATAGTTTCATAGAGACGCGTTTACAAACTAAGGGTATCTTAATATGCGTCGTTTAGTTTGACACATGCAACAAGGGAGCTGGCCAACCGAAAACCGTGGAACAGAAGTGTACTTTGAAAGGAACTTCAGCAGGGTGCACTGGTGAATAGGCTTTAGAAGTGCTAACTCACGTCAATGTTCCAAAGATGTGTGGTCCCTGATAATACTATAGTACTGTGTCACGTGTAACAATCATGGGTTGCTTCACGCTAGTGTTCAAATTCCTTAAGGTTCGCGACAATATGGCATGCAGTGTCTAATGTTAATGGTTTTTGTAGTTCTCCCTATCAGGTAACAAACCTGACACAGTTTGACACTTTTGCACTTTGACCTTCTGTACACAGGTCCGAGATGCTGGCGTCTACCAATGCATAGCCACCAACCCAGTTGGGGAAGATACTGACGAGCTACGTCTGGTGGTAGAAAGTAAGTACATTTCATTTGTAAATTCCAAAATTGTGAGAACAGGTTATGCTACCAATAATGTTTGAGTAACTCGTTTTTCATAAATTCTTTGCTCGTTGCATCTTGCCGGATTCTGCAACATGCCAGCCATCCACTTCTCAGCTCAAATAAGAATCTTACAAAGCTTCATGGTTATCTACTTTTTATAATAATTGTTCCGTTTGATCAACGTTAAAATGCCTTTTAGGCTCCTCAATTTTTCTTTGTATTACTGCGTAACATTTACCGAACTTTGGCACTTCGTATAAATATGGCTGTGCGTGTGGAGTTATCATCACCAGAACTAGCGAATCCGATCATGTATTTGTAAATCTGTTGTATTCATCATTGTGTCAATTTGCTTCTTGATTTGCGGTGTATCAGTGAAGATTATCCTGTTCACTTCTATATGTTTTCATTCCCCAGACGGTGCACCATTTAGGTGACTAAATTAGCCCCTGCGTTCTCCAATGCTCGACAGAATAGCCTCGTACACATGTGTTTATGCAGTTAATTGAAGCAACCTAAAGACAGCGCACACTGGACTACAGTTCGCTCTAAGCGTAGCTGTGTCCTGGGTATAGGGCTTAAGCGAGCTGACTACCCGCTGACTACTTGAAGTCAGACGGGAAACAACTTGGAAACACACGGACAACTTGGCATACCCTACAGTGAATTGGGCCCCCCTATCGATGTTGTTTGCTTCAACGTCTTACATTGCCCCCTGCTTCATATTGGCGCCCTTGTCGGTTATTCACGCAACTTCTGCTGTCTCCTCATGCTTAGTTCACCACTTCACAAGATGAGTGCACGTAGGTAATCTTCATTGGCCAAACATTAGGAAGCACACAGTATCGGTTTACCAGTGCGTAAGAGACCGTTTGCCACACTCTCCCTCTAGCGAATATTCCAGTGTGAAATTTTACCAGCCTGCTGTCACGTACCTACTAAAAATTGCCTTTTGAACGTGTTACTGTTCGGGTTAGCTGACGAATCAGTAGGTGCATTATGAGGTCATACTGGTACACGCGTTGTCTCTACCCTGTCCCAGTTGAAGGAAGGAGAAAGTCAAATGCACCACGCGTATCCACGGGATACCAGAATCCTCTTTCCTGACAGACTGAAAGAGTCAGTAGACACCATTTTAAGCACGATACGAGAGGCTCTCTTATACTCATCCACCAGAAGGCATGTCACCATGAGTACAGCTTAGAGTATATAAAGTCACTTCAAGTAATGGTGTTTCCGTCGATATTAAATGCACGCACGTACAATTAAGCTTGCAGACGACGTCAACTTCCGTCCTCCCGATAGACAACTCGTCATCGACATATTGTTTATTCACAACCGCTATTAGCATCTAACAAGACTCAGTTCAATTGGGTGCTCTATATTGACCCAGTAACTCAAACGATGGGCGTAAAAACCTGGAAACGGGATACGTTGCATATAACCGGTTTCGGAATCACTCTCTTCCAACATTTTACTGTACGGTCGGCTTCCTCTTTGATGGAACTCCTAGCCTGAGCTGGGATTGGGTGACAGCTGTAGCATTAATCACTAGACCACCAGGATACGCGAGCAGTGCCAGACGTATGCAGAGGTTTAAGGTGGTGGTTTTGACGAGACCACGCCATTTGTCTGTCTGGCGCTCTAGGGGAACAGTACTTGCCCTGTCTCCAACGAAAATGATAACGGCGGTAACAGAAACCATATTCGAAGGACTATTACAGACCCCGGTTGAAATGCCATCTAAAGAGACTCAGTCATAGCCGGTTTATTCGGGAACTTTCATAGTGTGTTGCGCGGATAATTACGACCTTGGTTACTACAATGGTAGCGTTGATGATCGGTATTCAGTCTGATCCGCGCTTTGACGCGTCAGACTGGCCGGGTTAAGATTGTTTGCCATTCGGATGAGATCACAGCTCTCCTCACGCTATTCAGGCATTTGTTGGATTCGGTGAAATCCATCGTCCCGGCAATTAACCTCTGGAGTGTTGTCCGCAAAACTCTTTTAATGCTCTCGACATTATGTAACTCGATCTCCTATCCTGTGTATGAACCGTTACCTTCGCGGCCTTAAACAAAGCTTTGTATTCAAACTCATTCATTCATCGATGATCCACTGGCTACGAACCCTCGCACTCAGTTCTCCAAGCGACGATTAACTTCCTCGACCTAGTAGTCGAAACAGTGACATTGCATCCAACCAAGCTTTACACAGTAAGAGGAAATGTCCACACTGCCAGATCATACTTTCATCCCTCCGGTTTGGACCCAAACGCAATGAAACGGTACGCCTCATTGTCAGCAGCAGTACTCACACAGTGATAATCACGGTACTCCAGTCACCACGGAAAAAATGCCAGCAAACACCAGTTGCCGATGTTTTCAGTGGCACCGGAATTGTGAAAGATGACCATGAACCAAACAGAAGTCCTTTAGCACCGTGCCGTAGGCTAATACAAGGTAATGGTTGTACGTCTTCCTTAAACGACGACGCAACATACATGCCTGTCAATCTGTTCGACAGGCAAGAATATAAAATGCAGCACATGAACCGATCTGTTTTCATGGAGGTATGCACAATTGTCCGGTCGAACTAACTTGCTGCAAACAGTACACAAGGACCTGAGGAAAACTCCACGTCGTACATCAAGCACGATGAAGGTTAGCTGTATTGTGTTTTCGTTTATGTTGGTTCCTACAAGCATTTACATGCAAAAGCGCTTGTCGGCCATCCAGTCAACCCGCCCGGTTTGGCGCCGATGCACACGTGGATATTTGAAGTGTGCCTCAGTCAGTGGGAACCAACTGGTGTGTATATGCAACCCATGAAGTAATGAGTTTGCATGTAAGTTGCAGCTCGACATCCTGGTGTGCGGGTGCTTGTCTGAGAGTCGTGTGCAATCCACCTTTCTGTCTAACACCAGTTACTTATTTACCCACACATGCCACAACTAGTTTTATGACGGTGCATCCGGTCTATGGTCTGTGATTAACTTATTCCGTGTGGGCACGCATATACGCCCACTTCCGTCCAAGTTGGCCTAATCCACAATGAATAGCATGCAGTTACGTCTGCTTGCTGAAGAGTAGCCGTTCAATTCCGACTTCGCTACTTCAGCTGAGATACCCTTGATACCAAGTTTGGATACTCTGAAGAAGGACATGCATAAACCCCGAATCGCGATTCCCTGTTGGGATAATTAAATTGTTAATAAAAGCATAGTTACTAGCTGAACATTCCTAAAAGAGGCGACTAAACGAATGTCCACACAACTCACAAAGGGCGAACTACGTTAGTGCTAGTCAGTTTGTTCCTATCAAACGCCAGTTTGTCACATGCGAAACACAAACTTCGTCAGATAGATTGACCCTGTCACCAGCCATATTCAAAATACCCCTCCGGTTACTATTGACCCATGGGCCTAACTCATTTACTGAATTTGTCCGAGCGCAGCAACCATCATGAGCTGAAACACAAGGGCAGAGTGGTATTCCGGTCCAGTGCATTAGAACAACTCTCAGGTCTTCGTGGCAAGAATGAGGATGGTCCTGATTGACTTGCCTCTGTCTTTTTTAACGATGTTATAGTCCAGCTACAACTTGATCTGACGCAGGAGAGTACAAAATAGCTCAACATCGCACACACAAACATATTCACACGAATCGGAAAGTGTGCCCTATTCTGATTAGATGCAACATCCATGTCAAGTGATTCGTCATGCAGGTGCATAAAATAAACTAATACTTTTGACTAGCACTCCTTGGTCTACCTTCACGAGCAGCTGCGCCTCTTGACGAGCCTCTTCTTATTTACCTTTCACTGTTAGCCGTGTCGTCCACCAGAATACAGTCGACCGGTTTTCTTTGCGCGTTTACTACATAACCACAAGTATTAACCATTAGGTTTCTGATACCCTCCAACTAGCCTGTAGTAGGCAAATTCCATTTGTCATCTTCACTGCTGTGCTACATTCCCAAGACCACTTTTTCCGAACTCGATAGCTGGCTACTTCCAACTTGGCTACAATCCACTTCGCTTAACATTTATCTGATCTATTCATCACCTGGCACTTCTCATACAACGCTTCCCAAAACTGCAATTGGTGAGCAAAATATACTTGCTAAACGATGTGTGACTACTCCGTTTGTGATGTCGTTGAAACAATCTTATATTCACTGGTTTACTGGTAATTCAGTTGATGGCAGAAAGTCGTTTTGAGCCTTGTGTTACGGTATACTAGCTCGCATCCTGTCCAACAAATACACTAAATTCATTAGTTATCGGAGACCGAGAAAAGGTATGGAGGGAATTTATCATAGTGCATTTCACCTTGCATCGATTTGGTTTTGACATCCCAGTGCAGCTGGTTAACTTCGCACTTGATCTCATCCCTGAGTTGCAGATTCCCAATGTACCTTTACCTTTCTTTACTATTTCGGTTTCCTTTCTCTTCAGGTAAGCCACAGTTGGTCACGATGCCACGCAACATCACAGCAGCAGTCGGCTCAGTTGTGACCCTGGAGTGTACTGCGGAGGGCGAACCCCGTCCCACCATCACGTGGTACAAAGACAATCAGCTGGTGCGCACGAGTGCTACGCACTCATTGGTCAATAATGGGTCACTCAGGTACGCTTCTCATTGCGTCTGCATTAGTGCCTTCTTAGTCCTACAGAGTGAAATAGTTAGCTCGTAGCTATCAGCAGATGTCACACCAACACTCCATGGTGCCGTGTATAACGTGTACAGGCAGCTAGGGTTGACTTGGTGAAAAGGAGGACATGAACTGCCAAACGGAATCGACTAGCCGATTTGCATACCGCTGATGGCAACAAATGCCCAGATATGCGCATTACAAACTAGCTTATCGATTCAATTATGTAATCATGTTGATTATGTAGTCTTAGTTCAATGAACATTGTAAATAGCAGAAAATACAGAAAAACTGTGATTGAGTAAGCATGTACATAAATAAATCGATCTCAATTATATGCCTTGCCCAAGTGCACACATTCTTGTAAACTTTGATTGGCGTCACCAACGTCAAAACCGGTAATCATTAACCATCCATACAAAAACGCATGCGTTTGCATCTGTTGGTGTGTAACGATGCTAAAAGAGAAGACATTATTCATGATCGAATAAGTTCCCCCTTCTACCTCCAGTAGCTGTTCAGTTTAAGATGCCGCCGGCTATCTAAATAAATGCATTGGGTCCCAGCGGAAGTATTCGTTGGCTGCTTTCCCTATGTAAAAAATTCGACTAATTATTTTGGGCCTTATTGGTTTACTAGATGCCTACTTTTCAGCTTGACCGTTATGTGATCTTAACAGCACAAGGTTCATTGAGCTGATGTCAACGGGTCAATTTCGGTAAAAAGAAATACTACCGCGTCATCAGCTTTTAGTTCTAACCCGTTAAGTGGTGAAGCAAGTGCTTTAATTCTATTTCAGTCTTTGTCTCGAAAGCTTGCTCGTCAAGAGATTCCGCTTCCGACGCTGAGACATTCAGCACCGAGTTGTAGATAAACGCTGAACACCCACGAGAACAAGCAATAATATACTGCTTAACAAACTTGAGTAGCTTACTATCACAGGAATTTCAGCATTTCGTTTGCTTTCAATGAATAACAACGATGGCTTATTATGAGTGAAGTAGCTTTACTACTTAAAAGGAGTTTCAAGAATGTGACAAAAGTAAAACAGAGATCCACCTTCTGGCAATATGATAACCACCTCCTATACCATGCACTTCTTTTTATTTCACCGTACTAAAAGGTGTTGGCTTGCAAATATCAAAGCTTCATCCTGCGGATATAAGAAAGAAATTATCATATGTCAAAGTTTAGGGTGTTGAGTGCATTTCAATCAACTTTTAAATATGGCTAGTGGGGGCCCGAAAATGGCTGATTTGAAAACGCATTTCACGACTGGAGAAAACAGATTTCGACGACAACTCGGACGGCCGTACGACTCTGTCGGTCTTAGCTTCGTGCTACCACTGAGCTTCGCCAGAGAGCTGGGCGCTGAGTTTTAAGATCAGGCTAGCCATTGGTAGGTTGTCTGGTTACCGTTCGTGTTTTCCCCCGACTGTTCTCAAGGATTTCTGCCTCGTGGTATGGCGGATAACACATTTCTATGACGTATGGGTGGCACGATGGTGAATAAGCCTCAAGCTATTGCGATCAAGCTTATACCATGATGGGCGGCTTTGAAGTTTGCATATGATGACGAACATAACTTTGAGCTTTTGAAGCAACGTAGAAAGTCTAAATGTTCTAATGGCTTTCTCACTGTCTGAAGCGCTTATTATCACCATCTGATGCTTTTATTGGTTGCCTGGAGCAACCCGAGTCATTCTGAGTTGGTACACCAGAGTCATTCTCAATCAAAAGCCTCTGCGACACCTGTACTTCGAGCAGGTGTGGTTACTGCCCTGGTGTCTTAAGGGGAGCAACTTACATTAGCCTGAGCTTGTCCGCTGATGCAACTTAACAGTTTCCTCCGTCTACGATGGTCTCTGCTTAGTAGATCTAAATCTCGTTACTGATCTACCTCTTGCAGGTTCTGGTATTTGAAAGTAATGATATTGTGTAGTAGACATCAGAATTAGCTACCTCAGCTTATGTGGGTCATTTTCGATGTTAGCTAATGGAGGAGCCACTAGCATCCACGTATTTGATTCCCTCCTACATTTCCACTATCTTTGCATCTTTTAAGAGCGTTTGATTCCTTTTCGGTTCATCTCTTCTGTCCAGTTCCTCGTAGTACATTGATTTGGCATATTTTTAAGCATTGTTCTAAAGATGACACTACTAATAGTGACTGCGGTTAGAGCATTTCGGTGTTGGGACTACAGTTGATTAACTGGAATGTCTCGTTGGATCTGATGAACTGTATCTATTGCCGCATAGGTGCTCTCTTTGAATTAGCGGTCCGTAGCCTTAAAAATCAAAAGTCCGCCTTGTAATCCGTGCGACCCTCACAGTATCTCTAACCCACTTGCAACTAGTGGTGGTTGCACGACAGCGGACTGTCGGTACTGCGTACTGGCGTACTGCTGGTGCCATTTCACTTTAAAATGGGGCGGATTCTCTGTTGGCTGTTCTAGACCTTGTAAATGCCATTAGGTGAAACGTTGCACATTATAAACCTGGTCTCACCCACGGCTTAACCCCCAGAACAAAGGGAGCAAAACTACATGTAGCGGAAATCCTACACGCGGTTCTATAACAGTAAATTTAATTGTATATAAAGAACTTACGACTAGGTTTGTAGACCTGGTCTCAGTGTTGCTCAACAGTGAACCGAAACAATCCCAGAAGTCTGTAGTCCCGATCAGCAGTAAACGGGAGGCAGCGAGGAGACGGACAGCAGCGGCCAGCACGTCAACAGTGAAGTGTGTGATTATGAGCCACTAAGATGGTTTCGGTCAACTACAGTAATGCGAATAAACAAATGTCACGGTCGTGCTTTATAATCCGCGTGGTTGTGCACAGAGGGTATGACGAAAATAAAATAATATGTATACATATGCTGAAGAGTAGGAAAAAAAGATAAAAAATGCAGGTTTGCAATTTGTGAAGTTGTAATTCACAGACCTCAGCAGTGACTTTGCGAAGTATTTCAGTGTTCGGTTGCATTCGGACCTATATGCCTGGGGCGATTCTAGAGGATTATAAGCAAGTAGATCTATTCAAAGCAAAGCAAGCTGCTCGACTGGCAGATTTGTCGTGTTGGGGCTTCATAACACTGATAGGGCTCAGAACTACCTTCATACTCTGCATAATCATCAGTATATGGAATATGTTTGCTTTACCCTCACGAGTAATCTGATTCCCAAAATCGATGGGATAGTAAGATTGCTGATGGAAAATGAAAAGGGTAGTTCTGTTTGACAGGTATGTATAATACGATAGTTGCGTTTGATTCGGTTGATGGACGCTGCCTGAATCTTGCTGAAATTCGCGCAAAAATCTAAATGTCTACACCGCGATCGTGGTTGCTACGCCACTCGCAAGGATTTCGCAAAAACATGCAGCCTTGTTTGACCAAACGAAGCCTGGGTTGTTAAAGAATCATGCGGCACACTTGACGGTGAAACCACAGGCAACACCGAAATTCTCTGCTGTACCTTATGCTCTTCGGGACAAAGTCAAGTGTGAGCTCCGCCGACTACAACAAGAGGGCAGAATTGAACCCGTCCAGTTTTCCGATTGGGCAACCACTATAGTGCCTGTATTGAAGAGCGATGGTACCATAAGGATCTGTGGGGACTAGTAGGTTACAGTCAACCGGACACTACAAACGATCCGTTACCTACGTCCAAAGCTTGCAGACTTATATGCTTCCCTCTCATGCGGCCAACAGCTTATCAAACAAGACTGAGTCACGCTTACCTACATTTCGAACTCGACGGGGACTCACGTGCCTTAACCATCATCTAGACACACCTAGGATTATTTCGTTACCGATGCTTGTCTTTCGAAGTAAGTACCTACTCGGATGATATCTTGATCGATGGACACACCATTGATGAGCGCCTACACACCTTGGATGTAGTTCTGCAAAGATTGTCAGATCTCGGGCTTGTTAAAAAAGGAAGTGTGAATTCTTTGTTCAAAATTCACGTTGCTTTGGATATCGGTTTTCACGTGATAGGCTATGCCTATCAGAAAAAATAGACTAGAGCACTAGTTACTGCACCGGCACCCAAAAATGTGAACGAGTTGCGGTCGATCCCAGGAACATTCGGGCAGTTTCCCCGATCCATACCATCAGCGTCAACCCATTTACACTTTCTTCTTCAACAATTACACAAAAACCATCCTTAGAATTAAAACAGATTTCAGGGATGTGCTTTTAATGCTATTAAGGAACTTTTAGCATCCACCGAAGTTCTTATGTATTATGACCTACGGAAGCCAATTGATCTTTCTTGCGATGCATCACCCTACGGTCTTGGAGTGGTATTATTGCACAAACCACCGAACGGCTCTCATCGATCTGTCGTTTAGGCTTCACGAACCTTGACGTCAGTAGTTAATTACACTCTGCTTGATCGAGAGGCAGCTGCTGTTGTTTTCGGTACTCCGATTTCATCAATATCTATTCGCTTGAACTTTGTGGTTTACACAGACCATAAAAAATCTCTTGGATTACTTTTTGGCTGTTACAAAGGAATTCAGCAAATGGCCTCTCGCAGGATGGGCCGTTGAGCCCTGATTATCACAACATACACATACCAAATTCAGTACGTCCCTGACCGGCAAAATACTACCCCTGATGCACTCAGTGGGTTTACCTTACCGTATGTACATTTGAAAGTATTTGCCCCATAGGAGCTAGTGACTTTGATCCAGCATGTTAGCAATCTTTCAGCTATGTCAACAAACATACGCCGCGAAACCGAGAGAGATGCTATTTTACCACTCATGAAATTCAACGTTCAGGTCGGGTGGTCGGACAACAAGACCAACCAAGTCAAATCTTTTCGTAACAGATTGACCAAAGCTAGTCTCCACAACGGATGTGCACTGTGTTGTAGACCCCAAGAAGTTGCGATCTGTTGTCTCAGATGAACTGCATGAGGCGCACCTTGGACTCGCCAAAATGAGGTCGTTAACCCGC